ACTTTTTTGCATCAGAATTTAATTGCGTATGCAGCTATCTAGCTATGACACAATATCAAAGAAAAGTACGGAACAGATGATTCAGCGTAAAGGAAGAGCACTCATGCCTCGGATTTCATTTGCAAATACCACTGCGAAGTTATGGTGGCTTTTTCTTCACCCCAAGTCAACCCTCATCCGTGAATACCCACTCAGGGGAGGGTCTCAAAAACCCTGGGTTATTCAGACATGCCCTCATCATCCATTTACTTTTCTCCGCGCAAATTGTGGTCAGGGGCGTCTCCTTCTCCAAGTGAAGTAGGTTCCCAGGCTACTCAAACTATACCAGAGAACACGACCAAGAGGCAGACCACAGCACCTTGCATCGTTGACTTGTATTTATAGTGTCAACTGCACTCTCGCAAGCGAACTCTTGGCGCGCACAAAGCTCAATTCGTAAAAATCCTTGCCAAAATTCAAAATGACACGCCCGTCGAGAAAGTATCCTTCTTTTGCATCATTTTGTAAACTTGTCCTGATCCCTCTCACGTCCATCTCATAGAACTATCTCCCAGATTTGTGCTCCACGCTTTGCTTCCTCCGTCGGGTACAAATATCGGCGTGGGCGTGTATTTGGTGGTCAATTGAGGCCAGAGAAAGTCTACGAGAGGCATGGTCATTGTGATGAGGACGTACTATGTCGTACTTGTAGACTTGATGAAGCTTAGTTGAGAATCGGATTCTTTGGGAGTGAAAGATTGACATGGTGGAGTAATTTGAATTTTTGCCAAGTGGGCCAACTTCTTTGATATTGCGAAATTTGACTGAACTTGGCTCTGGGAGAATATTTCACTCCCAGGTTCGGAGAGGACACCGCGTACAGGTGTTCAGTCTTGTCCTCCACCTAAATTCTCGTACCACGCCAATCGGTCCCAAGAAGCATAACAGTTGATCTTTTGACCCCCTGTTTGTGATTCATTCTTGCTGTAACATTTAATTACAGTTAAAAAGCGCCAGAATTTCTGCCATCCTTTTTGCCCTATCATATCCCTTATCATAGGACGTAGTTCCTTCGTTTCCGTCCGCCATCTCTGTGATAGCCGGCGAAGTCAACATGCCCAGTCCTTGCTACGATGAGGCGCTGATTTGCCCATCGAGGTAGAGCTAGCTCTGGAGGGCGTTTTCTTCGCATCAGTAGGTCCAGATCTTCGTACCTAGTACAGTCAGACCCCTGTTAGGACGATGTAATCGGGGCCGTGAAAAATATCGCCATATCGAGGATATCGTTTAAAAGAATATGATTATGTAATCCAGCTATCTAGGCTACTTTTTACCTTTGATGCCTCTTTGATACTCCCACTTACCGTCTTCAATCTCTCTAATTCTCTCAAGGTCAGGCCAGTTTCCAGCTCGCTGTCGTAGCGCAGCAGTACTTGGAGCTTCGTCGAGTTTCGCAAAGGTCTTGCTCAAGGACTCGGAGACTGTGGACTGGCTTAATCGATGGCCGTACTCAGCTAAGAATCACTCAATGCACTGTTTTTGGGTTGGTTTTGGGACCTGGCGATGTGCCCATCGTCGCAGAGCACGTCGTTGCTCCACAGAAATTCCCTTTTTTGGCGGCATTGTTAGCACCAATCTAGCAAAAAAATCCTGGTTAAGACGATATTCAGAGGTTGAAGAACGATAATCGCGAATCGGTAAATGTATGGGAACGAAGTCTGTTCCGGAAAATATATCGCATAAACGGCAATATCGGCTTAACAGGGGTCTGACTGTAACGGATTTTTTTTTTTTTTGGATTTTTATTATAGTCCTATCTGAGTCTACGACTATAGAGGACTTCTAGCTTCTAAATGAAAGAGACATACAAATTTCGATAAATTCAACCATTTTAATTCCCCACATTTTCTCATAGATAGTGAGGAACAAGTCCTGTGACTGTAACGGAGTTTTAGTTGTGATTATCTTTTTTTTTTTGCATCAGATTTTAATTGGGTATGCAGCTATCTAGCTATGACACAATATCAAAAAAAAGTACAGAAAAGATGACTCAAATTACAAGAGGAGCACTCATGCCTCGGATTTCATTTGCAAGTACCACTGCGAAGTTATGGCGGCTTTTTCTTAATGACAAGTCAACCCTCATCCGTGAATACCCACCCAGGGGAACGTCTCAAAAACCCTGAGTTATCCAGACATGCCTCCGTCGTCCATCAACTTTTCTCCGCGCGAAATATGGTCTTAAGTGTCTCCTTCCCAAGTGGAGTAGGTGCTCAGGCTACTCAGACTATACCAGAGAACACCAGTGATTATCATTTACACAGGAGCAAAAAGGATAAGGCGTTTGGAGATCTTATATACCCCGTATTAGAGATCCATATTCGCGTGTAGATGAGCCTAGTAGTGGAACATTGGTACGAACTAGGCTGCAGCATTCTTAGGCAATGCTGAGACTGTAGAAATAATACACGTTTTTTCAACCCCGTAATTTATCGAATCTACTTCCAGCTACACAGTTCTATCCATCTTAAGGAATCATAATCTAGTAATATATATAATTATTTGGGTAGAAAGTTACGTGGAAAAGGTGGCTGAATTCTACGGGTAAACGCTGAGCGGAATGGCTATTTACCACGGGCAATATATCAATGATCTTTGAAGTAATAAAAGAGGTAGGAGCACTGTAGAAGGTGTGGCCCGGGCTAGAGAGGAGCTCGATGTGCTAGATAGTCCATGACTCAAGTAGTACAATCAACATACTTCTCACCTATGTGTGGAATCATACCAAGCCTAGCCATCGAGAAACTCGCTACATACACGACGCAACGCAAATTTCTCCCAAGCCGCGGTCACAACGCGCCCGAGCTCTTGAAATACTCATTGACTCTGAGATATCTATATCGTCCCAGATCCCAGCATTGTCCTGATATTGCACCCCATCATCGCAAGATTTGGTTTTCATTATGGGGGTCTGTATGTTCCCATCAGGATATACTCCCTCTTTTCCTCATTTGTGCTCGTCTAGTTTCCAAAATGACTTTCATCACCAAGGCGTATGCTGATAGGTGTTGTAATGAGTTTAGAGGTGGGTCACAGGTGTAGGATCAACTGAGAGATGCTCCATCTGAAATAGATCAGGATTTTGAGATTGTCGGGCTTTTTTTTCGAATACGGCCCCGAAATAGATCTAGGCTCTTTGAGAATTTTTTTGAAGCTTTATAGTTGAGTGTTAAAGATGAGGTAGAGGTTTATGGGTCACGATATACGAATAATCGAGATGTGAATGTTTGAGTTCCTTACTATTCTTATTGTACCATTTGGGTTGTTTTTTCCCTACATAGAAAAAGAATTTCCTCAACTGCAATTGGACCAAATCGCCTTGGTCTGGCTAGCGGCTCTCGCCATTCTGTTACTTACGCCCCGCATAGCATCACGTGATATAAAAATACGGCTCACCATGAAATCGGAGAATGAATAGAATAGAATATAATTGAATTTAAGTCCTTACTGACTCTATGACCATGAAGGACCAATCGGAGAATGAAAAGCGTAAGATAAAAACATATTTCACTCTCAAGTTCGTTGAGGTCACCACTGACAGGTGTTCAGCTTTCATCCCACATCTTCTGAGCGTCAGGAAGCCCTTGAAACGTGCAAATACTATCGTGGATTGTCCCGCTCTGACTTCTCCGGCTGAATTTGGTTGATGTTAAGATTAGGTCATGGGACCAGTCCCTTTGACGCCACGTAGGAAACGGTAATAACTAATTGAATGTCAACAGCACCTTCTATTAGGACCACAGCTACAAGAGCTAAACATACATTTATAAATTTTCATTTTGTCGAACAACGATACTGGATGTATTCTGCAATTGTTACACCGTCTTTCATATCTGCGTTTGGGGGCCAATTTTCGTAAGCCTATCTGGGAAAGTAGGTTGAAACCCAAACGCTCATGATCAGACCCCGGCAAGCATCCTTGACCAGAGACTATCTCTTTGTGCTAACTAGTCTCTTGGTTCATTGGGATTCTCAATGCGATAAAGTTAGCTGGCGACCCTCGGCCTATGACGATTTCTCAATTGCAGGCTAACTGCAAAACTCAAATTTTTTCCATAATGTGAAGAAAGCTTGTCTATATGCGCCAGGGTGATTCATTGACGATTGTGAAGCCTATATGAAGACTCTTGTCAACTTGCGGATTGTTCAAATTGCCACAGCCAGCGGATTGATAGACTGCATCTTAGTTCAACTACCACGACGAGAAAGCAGCACACTCTCATGCCCATGCGGCAGGAAATTAGGTCTCTAATGGAGTGGCTTCGTTACCCAGCGATCGACATTTCTTCAGCCCTCTCCACCTGCTCTTTTAACATGACAAATATCTTCCAATGTGGAACCTCAGCGAGTCGTGAGTGTTTCATCATATCTAAACTCTAACCCTGATCCTGGCCATGTCTCGATTATCTGTTTGATCCTAAGAGTTGTGGCAGACTAGAGCGATGTGCCAGAGCATTCACGGCTCGATGAATATTCATCACACGTCCGGTCTCGTAATGTGGCTACAACCTTGGCATTTTTGATGAGAATGAGATTTGATATGTCCCACCTCCGCTCGAGAATGACCATCTCATTTCAAACTGCTGCTGATTCCTGGAAACTTCACACCCATCACCGCTTCGCAACGAATCAATCACAAAGAAGCGTTCCTCGGTAGATTCTGTACAGCTGGTCTGAATCAACGTTAAGGTAGCATTTGAGCTGTTATTCTTCCTATCTGCACATCGGAGCAGCATAGCTCTATAAAAGGCACAATGCGGTGGGGCAATATTGTCACTACCTGCCTTCTGGCACTACGCGGCGCGAAGGCAGCAATCACGCTAGATATCAACTCCGAGGCTTCAGTCAAGGCCGCAGCCAAACAAGTAGCAGCAGATATGTTGTCCTACTACACTGGTGATAACCCAGGAGACACACCGGGAAATCTCCCAGATCCCTATTACTGGTGGGAAGCCGGAGCAATGTATATTCTTCCTCCAACACCTCCATTCTCTCACTAACATACATTGTGAGGTTCGGTACAATGATTAACTACTGGTATTTCACGGGCGACACTACTTACAATGCCATGACTAAAAGAGCCCTTCTGCACCAGACAGGTGAGGATGGGGATTACATGCCACTCAACCAAACTAAGACACTCGGTAATGATGATCAGAGCTTCTGGGGACTCGCCGCAATGATGGCTGCCGAAACCAAATTTGAGAATCCGGAAAAGAACGAATTCCAGTGGCTTGAATTGGCCCAGGGCGTCTTCAACACCCAAGTGCCGCGCTGGGATGCCCAAACTTGCGGTGGGGGACTACGCTGGCAAATTTTTCAATTTAACAGTGGCTTCACCTACAAAAATAGCATCTCCAATGGTTGCTTCTTTAATCTCGCCTCGCGTCTAGCCCTCTTTACTGGAAACCAAACCTACGCTGACTATGCCGATAAAACCTGGAAATGGATGACAGACATTGGTCTCATGACGTCGGACTACAAGGTTTTTGATGGCACGCAAGTGACAAACAATTGTGCCTCACTGGACCACAACCAGTGGACATATAACGTTGGTGTCTTTATGCTCGGATCGGCTGCCATGTATAACTTTGTAAGCCACTCCCCCTCACTTAGTAAATGCACTAACCGAACTCTCAGACCAATGGAAGTCCCGTGTGGGAGGAACGAGTTAAAGGGCTTCTCAAGTCGGCTCAAAACTTCTTCCAAAATGGCGTCTTGTTCGAGGGGTGCGAGAGCAGCGGGAAGTGCAATATTGATCAGCGCTCCTTCAAGGGGTATCTCGTCCGCTGGCTCGCGGCCACGGCTGAATTAGCGCCCTTCACTCACGACACCATTATGCCGCTGCTCACGAGCTCAGCCAAGGCTGCTGTCAAGACCTGCACGGCAGGTGCCAGCGGTTCTCAATGTGGTCTGCAGTGGACCATGGAAGCCCATGACGGCAGTCTAGGTGTCGGTGAGCAGATGTCTGTGCTCGAGGTCATCCAGAGCCACCTGCTTAGTAGTGCACCCGGATGGGCGTCGGAAGTCAAAGGCACGAGTATTAGCGTCGGCAACGCTAATGCTGGCTCTGGCTCTGGCACCCACTCCCTCATGGTTTCGCATCCCTCCACTGTCGCTGATCGTGTCGGCGCCGGCTTCCTGACTCTGCTAATGCTCGTCGGCGTCATTGCCGGTAGTGTAGCTATGGCCATTGGCGACTAGGTAGCGCTTGCTAGCCTGGAATCAAGATGTATGGGCGTTTGGTGTTTTACGTTGGCTTTCTGGCATGGCAGTGAAGATGAGGCGGGCCAAATGGTTTGGTGCTTGGCGAATGTATGGATGGAGGCCTATGGCGTCATAGGAGTCGGGCGCAGAGGAAGGGTCTTACATTGAATATCATACGCATTTCCCGACATTGTCCCGAGACCCTGTCACTGCGAAACCTACCCCTGCTTTTATTCGCTTGAGACAACTGGGGCCCCAGTAGACGGGCTATAGTCCAGCTCCCCTGTTCCAAACGCAAGCGCGGTAAAAAAAAGATTATGTAAGCGAGAAAGATGAAGACCAAGAAGATTCGGGTCGTGTGTTATGGCAATATATGTCACGTGGAGAATTTACAAGGGACAAATCTGTTTATCTCTTCGTTCACATAAATTTGAAACTTGCACTATCGCATTTTACAGCTTTAATCAGAGACTTAGTCTTTCTCGGACAAAAAGAAAGCGATTAGAGTATTGCACGAGCAGCTTTGTCCGACTATAGAAGACCGTTTCGTGTATACGTTGATTTCCACCTTACAAGTTACTATTGATAATATCGACAACTAAGTCAATATTGTTAGTTACTGAATACGAATCTACTGGCAAAGAATCACTTACATGCTGGCTTCAGAGATGCTCCGCCGACTAAAAATCCGTCAATGTCGGGCTGCTTGCTCAGCTCCTTGCAGTTGCCGTCTGTCACACTGCCGCCGTAGATGATGCGGGTTTCTTCGGCAACCTTTGGACTGACTTCAGCGTGGAGCCAGGCCCGAATGCTTTGGGAGACTTCTTGGGCTTGCTCGCTCGTAGCGACTTTTCCGGTGCCGATAGCCCAGACTGGCTCGTAGGCAATGACTAGTCTATTCCAGTGACTTAATTTTGCTTTAAGAGCAAGGAGCTGCTGCGTGACAATTTTGAGCGTCTGGCCAGCCTCGCGCTGCTCCAAACTCTCGCCGCAGCAAAATATGACGCCGAGGCCACCATCTAGAGCCGCCCGGCTCTTTGTCGCCACAAACTCATCGCTTTCCTGGAGGAGACTGCGTCGCTCTGAATGTCCCGTGAGTGTCCACTGAATGCCGGCATCCAGAAGCTGCTCGACGGAAACCTCGCCGGTAAATGCACCATTAGGCTTGTCGTAGACGTTTTGAGACGCTACCTCAAGACCGGGTCGAAGATGTTCGCGCGCGAGTTGTAAGTGTAGAGTAGGCGGCGCAATTACGACCTCTATCATTGACATAAATTATCAGCCGCTGCTGGGGTAGGACCGGGCTCGTTCACTGGAAGGTAGCAATTGTGACTGCCTGCCTTTCCGCAAGAGAATAAGGGGCTATACCTGTCTTTGGATCTAGCTTAGCCTCATTTAGATGAGCTATGATTTTCTTGATGCTTTCCTTCGTCCCATTCCTGTTTATCATCAACAAATAGATAAGGCTGAGGGGCGGAAAGAAGCTTACATCTTGAAGTTACCTCCCACAAAAAATTGACGCGCCATAATTGCAGTTGGTTGCTGAATTAGATATTTCAGGTAAATTAGAGCAAACTTTTATGTCAAATAAGAAATCGTGCTTGACTACCCAATAGATCGAATAATAAAAGTACTTAACGTGAGATAAATTTACACTGTAGACCTGAGTCTGGTGAGGTATAAGAGGGGTTTAAGTGGCGTCTGAAATACAAGGCATTAACTTATCCTAGTAAAACCATGACATCTCTTAGCGCTGCACGGCCCGACTGCGTGGATCGTAACGTTTCAAGACTAACCTAGGTGCCCGTTACCCGGTGAAGAGGAAACCTAAATAACCTGCCATTCCTCACCTAGAACCATCTAAAATCTCTAGTGAAAACCATGTCACCTACGCCCATGTATGCCCTTGAAGTTTGGGTACAACATAATTCCAAAAGATCTTCTGAAGTCTAGGTTGGTGTTTATTTTATAGTTGCTTAATTACTTCAAAAAATTAAAGGAACTAAAAGAGAGTATAGCGTGGTGGAGTGAATGAGATTCTATTACACTTAAATCTGCCTTGAAACAGCAAAAATGTACAAGGTTTAATCCCAAAAGCTTCAATCATTTAACGAGATAAGAAACCTATGTTTACAGGATCTGGTTGATGGAATTAGAAGCGAGGCCATAATCAATCCTTCCCGGGGAATATGTGAGATGTTTTTGCTCAAATAGTTCTGACAGAACATAATCTATCTTTGATCAGACTCATCTACAGCTTCATCTGTTTGTTTCGATATCGCTTTCAATCATTGTATTTTACAATTTTGTGCCACATTCATGTGTATCTGACTATTCGACTTATGAATTTAGTGTAGCTATCTATCGCTTTATCATATAACATATGGTGATACTCTAAGGCATTATTAAGTACTAGACTTCGGATAGAGACGATCTATTGACAATAATAGTGATAACAGGTGCGCTCTAGCAGAGGTCACAAGGAAATGATGTACCCTCAGAGGCATTCGAGTAGAAAATTGTGAAAGCGAACATCATACTTGAAGTCAATTTCATATTACCTAAGCAAAAATATGAAGGGTACCAAGGTACTTGATGCGTATTAGATTTAAATGCGGTTAAAGGATGCCAGGAGGGGAAACTCACATCAGTGGGATTGTTGAATCTCAAGTTGCAGTCCAAGGCACTTATGCTTTGAAGGTCTTCTGGCGTAAGATCGAATCCAGTAACATCAAGATTTTCCTCCATGAGGGACAGCCGATTGCTTTTAGGTATGACGGCTATATCTCGTTGCGTTGCCCATCGAAGTAGAATCTGTGCAGGTGTCTTCGAATACTTCGTGGCCAGTTTTGTAATCGCTTGGTGCTTCATTAGTACAGGGGTCTCCTTAGCTTTCTGGAAATCTAGCTCGAGAAAAGACTGAGGACCAAAGGATGAATAGGCAGTAACAGCAATACCCTCTGCCTTGGCAAGTTTAAGTAAAGTTGGCTGGACTAAATATGGATGGTGCTCGATCTGTAGCGTAGCTGGACGGATCTTTGCGTATCGGAGAAGATCTAATATCAAAGAGCCCTGAAAATTGGATATACCAATACTACGTGTCAGACCTTCTTCTACTAGCTTTTCCATTGCTGACCATGTCTCTTGAGTTGAAGCATTACTTATTTGAACCTCCGATTTGCCGTCGTAATACCACCCTGGGGGGTATCGAACCTCTGGGTCAACCCACTTAAGCGCCACGGGAAAATGTACAATATATAAATCAAAGTAATCAATCTGAAGGTCCTTCAGCTGTTTCATAGCAGCCGGTTTCACTTTATCGGAGTCATGGAAAGAGTTCCAGAGTTTTGAAACCAGAAAGAGGTCTTCACGCTGGACAATGCCCTCTTTGATTGCACGGGCGATGCCTTGTCCCACTTCCTTTTCATTGCCATAGTCTGTAATCACGTTAGAATGGTTTCGGATGTTAACAGAGTATGCTATTAAGATGCGTACCAGCTGCGCCATCGAAAAGCCTATATCCAAATTTTATGGCTTCATAAACTGTTTCGGCACAAGTATCTTTGTTAACTTTCCACAGGCCGAACCCAACTTGGGGCATCAAATAGCCCGAGTTAAGTTTGATGTTTGGGACAGAAATAGTCATGCTGATAAATTTATAGAAGATGATTTATCTTTATATCTAGACCGAGTACCTGAGGAAAGTGAGATAATGGAGGGGTAGGCTGAGTAGAGAAGGCTTTTATAGTCCATGCCGTCATTCGACCTAGGTGTGCATCATCTGCAGTCTATGCAAGTTATGCTAGACACCGCACAATTGTGTTCATGAATCTTCGAGTACTTATCGCGTGGTTATTACTAAGTCCGTTTATCAAATTATGTACTTGTGGGGGGGGGCGAAACTCATCACCTGTTATTAGTATCACCTACCAACCTCCGGCTCTTACTGTAATGTCTTCAGAGACGAGTTTGGGTAACACCGACCTTACTTCCATGAGGACTCCCAATCGCTACCGCGGTCTGAATCGTCTTCATCTCTCAACACATCCCCTCTATCATGAAGCTAATCACCATCGGATCAGATTGTAGGGTCGGAGCCCTTCTCATCACCAACCCTTGATCATAGAGGAAAAGCCATCCGATGAGTTTCCGGAGTATACCTAGCACCCGATACGGAGATGGTGGATTGGATCAAGTCGGCCTCTAATGTAACGAAAATGGCAATATAGATGAATATGCGCACCCCATCTGGTCCAGGTGTCTAGGTCTCGCCTGGCTGGGGCTGAAGGATTTTTGAGACTTTTTCCCGTGCACACTGTTTCCATTATTTCATGGACAAGTAGCAGGAGATAATTGAAATGTTTAAATTTTCGACGCAGTCAATGAGACGATAGGCTGTTAGGGTAGTTCTTGATCTTGGTGAGCTGGGCAGTGAGTGTGGATGCAAGGATCTGGGAAAGCAAAAGTTTTTTTTTTTGCATCAGATTTTAATTGCGTATGCAACTATCTAGCTATGACACAATATCAAAGAAATATAGCTTTAGCTTAGGACAAAATAAACAAAACAATATCAAAGAAAAGTACAGAATAGATGACTCAATTTACAAGAGGAGCACTCATGCCTCGGGTTTCATTTGCAAATACCACTGCGAAGTTGTGGCGGCTTTTTCTTCACCCCAAGTCAACCCTCATCCGTGAATACCCACCCAGGGGAACGTCTCAAAAACCCTGAGTTATCCAGACATGCCTCCATCATCTTTCAACTATTCTCCGCGCGATATGTAATCTGAAATGTCTCCTTCCCCAGTGGAGTAGGTGCCCAGGCTACTCAAGCTATACCAGAGAACATCCCCAGGAGGCGGATCATAACACCTTCCATCGTCGGCTTGTTTTTGTAGTATCAGCTCCACTCTCGCAAGCGAAGTCTTGGCGCGCACAAAGCTTAATTCGAAAAACTCTTGCCAAAATTCAAAATGACACGCCCGTCGAGAAAGTATCCTTCTTTTGCATCATTTTGTAAACTTGTCCTGATCCCTCTCACGTCCGTTCCAAAGAGCTATCTCCCAGATTTGTGCGCCATGCTTTGCTTCCTCCGTCGGGTACAAATATCGGCGTGGGTGTGTATTTGGTGGTCAATTGAGGCCAGAGAAAGTCTACGAGAGGCATGGTCATTGTGATGAGGACGTACTATGTCGTACTTGTAGACTTGATGAAGCTTAGTTGAGAATCGGATTCTTTGGGAGTGAAAGATTGACATGGTGGAGTAATTTGAATTTTTGCCTCGTGGGCCAACTTCTTTGATATTGCGAAATTTGGCTGAACTTGGCTCTGGGAGAATATTTCACTCTCAGGTTCGTAGAGGACACCGCGTACAGGTGTTCAGTCTTGCCCTCCTGTTGAGGGATCAAAACGATACAGATGGCGAAAACGTTTTATAATCCCCATTGAAGTGGGGTAGAAGGTATTACTTAAACTCGGCTCTGTAGACTCTATAGTAAGAGCCGGAGGTTTGCAGGGAACACCACTGGCAGGTGTTGGAATAGTCCCCCGTGTTTCTTATGGAGTTAGACAAGAATCAAGATACGTGTTAATTACTAATCGTTGTTACTGCTGTAGAAAACTTGTAATACAAATACTACATGAGTATTCAGACATTAAATCTCTAGCCTCATCCATATCTTCCTATGTTTATTTTATCTCATGTAATAGGCAATGAAATTATACCGTGTTGAAGGAAAGCTAATTGTAATATTTCAGTAGATTCGATATTTTTGGTTGTCTGTAAAACCACTATCTAGCCGTATATATATTTTATGTAAATTCGTTGTAAAAGGTGACAGGTCTTTTTATAGAATCATCTAAATATTAAAAAGACGAGTCTCGTTCCAATGAAGGCCATTTCTTGCTGGTTTCCACATCGAATATCATTTCAGAAGCCATGGCATGCCAGAGTCCCTGTATTAAGTAGAAAGACCGGAAATTTGACGTAAAATTTAGCTCGAAGGTAAGGAAAGAACTGTAAAAATCCCATAAACTGCGGAATGGGCTTATCTCGAGTTATTCTTGTCGTTTATGGTGTAGTTCTTCAACTAGCAAGTGATAAGGATACACAGGCTTTTGAGGTTGAGCCGTAGCTTCTTCGTTCGTAGGCAATAAATCTACCAAAGTAGAAGTGCTCTTGTTTGTTCTGAGATCATTCATTATCGAGTTTTTCTGTTATGGAGCCGAAAATTGTCAGTCTTTAATGCAAATTAGAAAATTGGTACTGAAACGCTTAAATAATGAAAGCCAGCTTAAAAGCTCTTAATTTTTTTGTCTACTTACTTCTTGCGTAAGATTTTTGCGTCTTATTTGTTCTCGGCAAGGTCAAATTCCTTGAACTGATTTTGCATTGAAATAAGTTCTTCTTATTCGTCCTCTTCTACTTAATCTTCTTCATCTTCCTCTTCCTCCTCTTCATCTTCTTCTTCATCTTCCTCCTCTTCTTCTTCATCTTCCTCCTCTTCATCTTCTTCTTCCTCATCTTCTTCATCTTCTTCCTCCTCTTCTCCCTCTTCTTCTAGCTCTTCCTTTTCCTCCTCTTCGTCCTCTTCTTTCTCCTCTTCTACTTTCTCTCCTTCTTCATCCTCTTCTTCATCTTCATCTTCCTCTTCTTCATCTTCTTCCTCCACTTCATCTTCCTCTTCTTCTTCCTCCTCTTCTTCCTCCTCTTCATCTTCTTCCTCCTCTTCTCCCTCTTCTTCATCTTCATTTTCCTCATCTTCATCTTCTTCCTCCACCTCATCTTCCTCTTCTTCCTCCTCCTCATCTTCCTCTTCTACTTTCTCTCCTTCATCCTCTTCTTCATCTTCATCTTCATTTTCCTCATCTTCATCTTCTTCCTCCACTTCATCTTCCTCTTCTTCCTCTTCTTCTTCCTCCTCATCTTCCTCTTCCTCTTCCTCTTCTTCCTCTTCTACTTTCTCTCCTGCTTCATCCTCTTCTTCATCTTCCTCCTCTTCATCACTTTCATCTTCCTCCTCTTCTATTTCCTCTTCTCCCTCTTCTATTTTCTCTTCCTTATCCTCCTCTTCCTTCTCTTCTTCTCCATCTTCATCTTTCTCCTCTTCTCCCTCTCCTTTCTCCTCTTCTACTTGCTCTTCTACTTTCTCTTCTTCCTCTATTTTCTGTTCCTTTTCTTCCTCCCCTTTCTCCTCTTCTTTCTCCTCCTCTTCCTTCTCCTCCTCTTCCTTCTCGTCTTCCTCTATTTTCTCTTCCTTTTCTTCCTCTCCTTTCTCCTCTTCTTCTTCATCTTCATCTTTTTCCTCTTCTACTTTCTCTCCTTCTTCATCCTCTTCTCCCTCTTCTTCTTGCTCTTCCTTTTCCTCTTCTTTCTCCTCTTCTACTTTCTCTCCTTCTTCTTCCTCTTCTCCCTCTCCTTTCTCCTCTTCTACTTGCTCTTCTACTTTCTCTTCTTCGTCTATTTTCTGTTCCTTTTCTTCCTCTCCTTTCTCCTCTTCTTTCTCCTCTTCTCCCTCTTCTTCTTGCTCTTCCTTTTCCTCTCCTTTCTCCTCTTCTTTCTCCTCTTCATCTTCATCTTCATCTTTTTCCTCTTCTACTTTCTCTCCTTCTTCTTCCTCTTCTTCCTCTTCTACTTTCTCTTCCTTTTCTTCTTCTCCTTTCTCCTCTTCTTCATCTTTCTCTTCTTGATCTTCAACACCTTCCTCTTCTACTTCATCTTCTCCATATTCTGCTTCCTCGTAACCTGTAGATTGTTCCTCAATTGAGCTCTTATGCGTCTCTTCCCTGGATATAAAATTGTTAGATGCGACCCCTTTTTTTATTGTCGAGGGAGAAGAATCTGTCACATTTTCGCAGTTTATCCAAACAAATATTTTTTGTTGATTTAGAGACAAAGTTGTTGTATTAATATTTTTCTAGCCAGTCAAAATAGACTAGATTTTGATGTGACGAAACCTGATAAATTGTCTTAACAAATTTGCTCGATAAATGCGTTTAAATTAGAGTGTGAACAATCTGACTCGCTCAAATGTTTAGAAAAATAGTGACTTCAGCAATTATGAGAAGGGCTATTCTATTTACGTTATGGAGAAACATATGCAAAGAGGAGAGCCTATCCTCCTCTTTTTGCAAAAGGAAATAAATAGGACATGGATTAAGAGAAAGAGGGGCTTCCACATTAGATGGAAAGGTATCTGAAAATAATAATTCCATAAAGTCTGGCTGTTACATTAAGCAGTCCAAGCAGGGCTTCGTGGTCGTGGGTGAAGCTTGACCATGAGAACGGATGCCATCTTATAGATGATTACTTCAAGTAGGATGGAAAATTTGAGCTGCCGCAGCAATTTACTTTCCAAGAAAATCAAAGTGCAAAACTTGATGCGTAGTTCAACAGGTTTGACGTGTCAAATTTCTAAGTGCATGGATTTAGATAGGGTATTTTGCTAGTTGGGACCCAATTATAGGTGTCGATGTACCCAACGTTCGGGGGTGGAAAGAATATTGAATTATAGTTTTCCCGCTTGCCAACAAAGGCTTGACACGCAAGTGCATACATATCTAGTTTCTGATCTAGCAAATAGGCATCACTTAGACACAAGATAATGCAGAGGATGGGTACAAACTTGTTATGGGCGTGTAATTCTGAATGTTTACAAAGGGTTTTACAAGTAGAGCTCTGTGTGCGCGCCTAAACTTCGCTTGAGAAGGTACAGCTCACACTATAAATACAAGCCAACGATGGAAGGTGCCGTGGTCCGCCTCATGGTCGTGTTCTCTGGTATAGTTTGACTAACCTGGGCACCTACTTCACTTGGGAAGGAGACATCTCAGATCACACTTCGCGCGGGGTAAAGTTGAAAGATGATGGAGGCATGTCTGGATAACTCAGGGTTTTTGAGACGTTCCCCTGGGTGGGTATTCACGGATGAGGGTTGACTTGGGGTGAAGAAAAAGCCACCATAACTTCGCAGTGGTATCTGCAAATGAAACCCGAGGCATGAGTGCTCCTCTTGTAATTTGAGTTATCTTTTCTGTACTTTTTTTGATATTGTGTCATAGCTAGATAGCTGCATACCCAATTAAAATCTGATGCAAAAGAAAATAAAAAATAAGTGGTCACTATTAATGTCTGGGCGACAATACATCCCCCTATCAAGAAGCTAGCCACGATCAGATCAGAAGGTAGGGTCGGAGCCCTTCTCATCACCCACCTTGATATGGGAGGAAAAGCCAACCGATGAGTTTTCGGAGCGTGCCCAGCACCCGATACGGCGGTTGTGGATTGGATCGAGTTGACCTCCGATGTTACATGGAAGGAAGATATAGATGAATATGCGCACCTCATGTGGTTCCGGTGCCTTGGCCGCGCCTGGCTGGGGCTGCAGGGGTTTTTTGAGACTTCTTCCTGCGCACGCAGTATCCATTGCTACCAATTATTATTATTTTATTTAGTTTTTTTTGGGTAGAAGGTTTGGTAAAATAGGTGGCTGAATTCCACGGGTAGATACTGAGCTGAATGGCTATCCATCACGGGCAATATATCAATGATCTTTCAAGAAAAATGAGAGGCAAGGATCACTGTACAAGGTGGGGCCTGGTGTCGAACTAATAGACCTGTATATGAGGCTGAATAAGGCTGAGAAGGAAGCACGCGCAATCATCCGTTCGATACATAATTCTGGTATTTTGTACTGTAACTAGTTGCGCATACTTTTACCTGTTTACCATATGAAGCGCTCATCATATTTTTAACTTGTGTTTAAAATTAGATAACACAGTCTGTTTGTAAGACGGGATGATGAGATACGTGGTCTGGACTATGGAAACTGACTGGAGGAAGACGAGCGAACTTGTATTTAAACAGAAGTGAGATCATGGAAGATAGGACAATCAATCATTTTCCTCTTTCCCTTCTCTTTGAGAAAACATCGAAGACCCAATCCTGTGACACCTGGGCCAGAAAGGATTCCAATGTGCTATATAGTCTATGACTCAAGTAGTGCAATAAACATACCTCTCTCCCTCCCTGAAGCTTAAGCACGAGTGGGGCCGGGCCGGGCCGGATCAAGTTAACTACCTTCAAGACGAACATACATCATCCTACCTATATGACCGGAACCATGCTGATACGCATCTGTGTGTTGAATCATGGCAAGTCCAGCAAAGTAGAATCAAAAGACAAATTCTAATAATCTCCTTCCATTGTCCTACCTTGGCCACTACGCGTCCGAGCTTCATTACGTTAAATATTTTTTTATGACTTTTGTAAATTTCTGGCCTCATAAATAAAGCTTCAGAAGTACTTGTGAGTCCTCGGGCAACACGAGACCTTGTTGAGCCTTTTTTTAATAGCCATTCAACGTGTATTCAGCTTTCTAACAAATAAAAATGACCTGTGCTGTGTATACATGTTGGATAATTCATTTGACGTTAGAAACACTCATACACTGAGTTTCATTCGAAAATATCACTATGAGGTATATTTGTTCACACTAAGTGTCAACCCTTCCCCGGTGGCCACATTTTGCTGGATTCAAAGCAGCCATCTCCTCTTTCGAGTGGGACACATGTCCAAGCTGTCTAGAATCTACCTGGAGGTCGGACCCAGAAATTATACCACCGCACCATCCAACTAAGGTAGTGTCAATAGTGTTACCTGAACATTCGCTTTCGAAATATTTGCGCGCATAAAACCCAATTTATAAAAATCCTTGCTAAAATCAAAATTTTACCTCCGGCGGGTGTAAATATCGGCGTGGGCGTGTATCAGGTGGTCAGCTAAGGCCAGGGAAAGTCGAAGAGAGGTATGATCATTGAAATGAGTATGTACTATGTCGTACCACTCAACTTGATGAATTTTTGGTAAGAACTGATATCGTAGGGAGCGAATGATCGTCAGGGTGGAATTTCTTGAATCAATGTCTCATGGGCCAACTTATTTCCTATTACGAAATTCGACTGATTTTAGCACTAAGACCATATTCCATCCGCAGGTTGGAAGAGCAGACCCCTGACCAGGTGTCTGGAATTTGCCATACTCTAGAATCCATTATCATTAATCACCGTGAGCACGTGGACGCAGCAGTCCCTGCTTGATAGATGATAGGTTACACAAACACTTCTACAATAAATCAGTTTATCCCAAAGGATGAAAACCACCCTATGAATGTGCATATCCGTCCCAGATCGTAGAATACATGGCAATATCTTGTCAAAAATCGGCAAACAGAAGAGGCGAGCTACTGCCAAAATCGAAACCCCGATCCTTCAAAACTATGGTAAATAACGCCAAGAATATGACAAGAATAGCATAGTGGATTCTAGAGTTGGGGTAGCTAGAACAGTTTCGGATGACTGGGGAGACGGAAGCGCTAATAAGGCGAAGAGGAGAAAATAGGAGCACAGGACAGGTATGGAGTCTACACTGGCAACAATAATGTTAGAGCTTTTCCCGAAGCCAAGGCTTTCATGGCATAGAATCCAATCAGATAGCTAAGAGTGTTTTTACTATAAGATTTACTCCCATGTAAATAAGAGAGTTCGATAGACACCTACACATGCCGCTGAGGCTCCAAATCAGGCTAAATGAAATCAATTTCGAAATTCAAATAAACTGCATTCCTTTGTTCCGCCGAGGCACAATCATGCCATTCAAAGGAGCTTACAATACCTATTGAGATACTGCCACGATAACTCAGGCCGATAGGATTAGCACTATTGTCTGGAATTCAACATAAGTGGTGAAATTGAGGCCATTCCTGCATTTAGATATATAAATATTTAAGATTCGCTTGGCATGATGAGGAACAATCTAGCATGGATACTTATTCTTTATAATATGATATTTTAAGCCTTTGATTCTAGTTACTTTCGATCCAGACTCACAATGATGAGAAAGCAAATTATCTGTAGCATTGCTGTGCTTCTCAACACATGTTCATAGCTTGATTATAGCTTAGCCTCTCCAAATTCTCGGAAGAATGGAGAACTCGAAGAAATAACAAGTGACTTTATTTGCGATAGCTATCACTTTGTTAGCCATAGAGTCAAGAAGAGTTATGATGTAGGTTGTGATGCGTTGTGGAACGATATTTCGCAAAAGCAGTTTCCAGCCAAATTGGAAGATGGCCATCTAGTCAATGGACCAAAAAGAACTCTATACTCTTGGCCATTGAAGGAGGCTGTAAATTCTTTAAACATGAGTTAGTTATTCCCACAAAACCTGGGCTTTCTAAGGATAATGATACGCGACGCCCAAAAATATTTAATCGTATTTATCCACGTTTACGAATTGATATTAACTATTTTCGGTCCAGGATACACTGGGAATTTCTGGACCGTTTTCGATATTAATTGTGAGTTTTATGGCGTAGTAATACGTGGAGAAACCGGCCATAGATCTTGTATTGAGCTGTCAAACCAAATCGATACCAACATGATAAGTCCTGACCGAAAAGAATACAAGGGCTATAAGTGTCAGAGAATGATATTCGGAGAAAGCTATGTTCAAGCATCTCTCTTAGCAGCACGCGAAGTAAATATAAGTAAGTCACAAGAAAAAGGATATCCTATCAAGATCTCGCGGCCAGGTGTTGAAAAATGCATGTACGAATGGCCCTTATTTCAAAATAACCTCATCTATAGATCTTGCTGCATGAGACAGTCTAAATCAAAGTCTAATCTGGTCTCTAATCTTTTCTAGTTAAAATCAAACGCCGCTCTAAACATTTTATCTGGTTTGAAGATGAAAGTGATCAAGTGCGTGTCATTGAAACAGTTGAATCTTCATGGGCTGTATGCCCATTAATAACAAAGACTATTGTGTCTCGTACTGAACATTTCAATTCTATCACCGCCCGCGAGCGCGTTGACCATGATAACAAGAAAAGCTACGACTGTAGCGGTCGGATATTCACGGATTATTACATACAAGAAGTCTATTCCACTTTGAAAAACTTGATATCTAGCGGACGCCATCCCAAATTTAAGAAAAGTAATTATCCTCAACTCGTGAACATAGCTAAGATAGACGCAACAAATAAAGTCTGGACTTGGCGACTTCGTATTCCAGAAGCAGACTTCCAAAGTATTTCAGTCCTATCTTTATTCATGAGTTTTACTAATGAAAAAGACTCCGAGATAAAAATCAGCTACATGTTAATAATGAGCCAAGAATACCAAATTCACGGTGTATACCGAGTTAATAAAGAAGCTTTCATTCAATGTAAGGCCAAATATGAACCGACTATTTCTCAGGCAAAAGACACATTTTTGAACATGGACTTAAACAAAGGTTATCCCTCTTGTGAGCGTTGTAAAGATGTCACAGGATGTAGTTGTGAAGTAAACTGGCAAGACCCAAAGCGGCAGAAAATCTCATAACAAAAATCTAGCAATGACAGTGAGTCAAGACCTGATTTTACCCGTTGGTATTAGATTATACTTCTTAATATAATAGGGCTACAAGCTAAAAAAGCGAAGAGGTACTAATATGAATAAATATTAGATAAATAAAATATAATTAACGTATATTTTGACATGGTCGAATGAGCATTTCAAGACTTGAAGACTGAAGAATAATTTTGGAGCATCATCTAGTTAACTGAAAATACTATAAGCTGGAAGATAATGGACTTGAAGCCTCTTGCTTCTTGGAAACACTGATTTCAGTTCAGAAGAGATATCTGTGTTGGATAGGCCGTATGTCGATATCTGATCAGATATCAAAGTTGGGATAGAGATATTCATCCTTATGCTCTATCTACAAATATGATACAACTGTGAGAAAATTACACGAGACTTATTATTCAGCCGTATGTGCTTACATCACGCCATGCTCTAATACCGATGTGTCCCCGACTGGAAATACCATATCTACTTGATATTTGTTTGTATTTGTTAAGGTCCTAGGCTTAAGCTCCAGACCCACTATTGGTACAGGACTGGTAGAGTTAGCGGGGGTCCCTGTGATGTTTTCCACAGCCCAACTCATTCCATCTGCGTGAACTTCGACAAAAATGGAAGCCAACAGCAAAGCTAAAATCAAAGACTAACCCAAAAAAACAGTCAAAATCTGTGGAACTTCATTTGAGATCCAGATGCCGTGCTCCTCGCCCGTTTTCATTCCCGTCACATTCTCCAACTGATAAATTCTGATCTCGACTCAGAGCGGAAGATGAGTTTGTGAGTACCCCTTAATGTTTGCCGGTTTCCTACCATATAATTGAAGACTTCGTAGACTTCACCAATAGTCGCCGCACTCAAAGTTCCTTGGACTCCAGAACTCTGAACCCCGATCCGTCTTCCATGGGAACATCCTTCAATGAGGCGACGATTGCCACAGTATGATGGTTGGTAAGCCGGGTAGTGCCTAAAGTCTATGCTGGCTAGTGCAGACAGTCCTCGACTTCTAATCATAATTCACGGGGAAATTCTCGTAGATTCTTGGATATGCTTGCTTGGCATTTCTTTCTGGTGGAACGTTTGAGACTAGACCAGGGATGATCGGGAATCATCCGGAAGGAGTGAGAAGCTTCTAGCCGTAGAAACTCTAACAGTCGTACACCTGTTATACTGGTCATGTATCATCTCGTTTTCGTTTCCGTTGTTCGTATTATGTCATGTGGTGCCACATCTATTTTCAATAGTATTAATTATTCTTGGCGCTTATTACAAGATATTTTGAAAGTTATGGCATATACATGATTATGTTTTACACTCAGCTAACTTGGGGGTCCACTGGTAATCAAGACATACTCGTACCATGATGTGATGTTGATGTAATATGATGTTTTAATTATACTACTTTAGTCTTAGACCATCCAGCACATTGGGCTCCTCTCTGGCCCTGGTTACACCTTCTATAGTGATCCTTGCCTCTTTTGTTACTTGAAAGATCATCGATATATTGTCCGTGATGAATAGCCATTCAGCTCAGTATCTACCCGTGGAATTCAGCCCCAGCCAGGCGAGGCCAAGGCACCGGAGCCACATGAGGAGCGCATATTCATGTACATCTCCCTTCTTTGTAACATCGGAGGTCAACTCTATCCAATCCGCCATCTCCGTATCGGGTGCTGGGCACGCTCCGAAAACTCATCGGATGGCTTTTCCTCCATGATCAAGGGTTGATGATGAGGGCTACGACACTACCATCTAATCTGACCGTGGTTAGCTTCATGGTACCGGTGATGGGTGTCTGGATTGAGAGATGAAGACTATACAGTTGGCGAAAGCGATGGAGAATCCTCATCGAAGTACTTGTTACTCAATCTCGACTCTGCAGACTCTGCAGCGAGAGCTGGAGGCTCGTAGGGGACACCACTGACAGGTGTTTAGAATAGTCCCCCGCTAAGAGAATAGAATTAAATTCAAGTCCCTAATAAGTCTATAACTGTGAAGGACTACTAAAATCAGATAATATGCTACCAAAATCTGCCTGTCTAAATATATGGCTTATTTCAATTCTTTCCAATAGACAATTCCCCGCTAAGAGAAGAATAAAGTGTGAGAACTGGCTCACAAAATCTTATATACAAGGGTCAAGTTGAGATCTTTCCTTATAAGGAATAGCATTTTGAAAAAGGCAACAATGTATTTATAGAATTCCTCCCCATAGAGAGAAGAGATAGGAATGATTTGAGCAACCCTACATAAGCTTGCGAATTGATCATTGGTAGTGTACCGACACAAGGGTTAAGATCATAAAAGTTGCTACAGACTAAATATGTTGTTCACAGCCTAGTGCTACAACATTCCATCGTGATGTCATTTCTCTCCTACGAGAAATGACCATCTCGTTCTCCCTCAGTCCATCAGTCTCTATCTGATTCCAATATCTCTATTCTATCGAGTTCTAGTTTATTCCGTTATCCCCAAACATGTATTACACACTAAACTCCCCACGGTCAAGTTCCACAGTCACGTGTATCTACCACGGTAAGTTACATGGATTACGCAGCGGATAGCTTTCTCCTAGCCTGAGCCGACCGGTACGGGATATCCCAAAACACGTGCTGTGCGCAGGCACAACATTAACTGGTCCAAAAAAATGTAACAAGGCTAAATACTGAATATCCATGAGTGGGTATCTCCTCATACGTGAGAGTGGAATATTCTCCCTAAGCCGAGATTCGTTCACTACAAGGGTGGGATAATTATGTCTGATGGATTATCGGATTGCAGTAGTTTTACTCTGGACTTGGCTCAAAAATCAGTCGACAGAGAATTCGGAAGTGCAATTAGGTCAAACAAAACCCACCGCCACCAACGTACGACTCATAAATGATCCCATATCTATTTTGGGGTCGTTTACATCAAAACCCCAGACACCCCTCAAACTCCTAATACTTTTGGGATTAAGCATTTCTCAGCCGATGCCACACCTACGGCCCATCTCCATACTCGTCACATCACCTACCCACAAACGCCCTAAATAGGAAAGTCATGGTGGGCACAGGACGTGCGCAAAGGAGGAAAATAGGGAATATGCACTGATCGGATCATACAGGCCTCCAATGACGCCAACAAGACAACAGAATCATGAGGAGGTGCAGGGTCAGGAAACGCTAGAATCTGCAACGACATAGATATTTCGTAGTCAATGAGTTTTTCAAGAGCTCGGGCGCGTGGTGACCGAGGCTGAGGATGTATTTGCGCCGCGGCGTATGTACAGCTGCTTCTTGGAAGATCAGACTTAGTATGGTTCAACACATAGGTGAATCTTGAGGTGGTTTGGTCATTTTGGTGGGACGAGGTTTATGGAACTTATCTGGTAGTTGAGCTGATCCAGCCCAGCCCCACTCGCGCTCAAGCTCTCGTAGGAGTGCTGACGGTGCCAATTTCCTAGCACATTAACATGCGAAACAAAATACAGAACAGATGACTCAATTTAAAAGCAGAGCACTCTTGCCTTGCATTTCATTTGCAAATACCACTGCAAAGTATTGCTGGCTTTTTCTTCACCCCAAGTCAACTCTCATCGGTGAACATCCACTCAGGGGAGGGTCTCAAAAACCCTGGGTTATCCAGACATGCCTTCATCATCCATTTACTTTTCTCCGCGCGAATTGTGGTCAGGGGCGTCTCCTTCTCCAAGTGAAGTAGGTGCCCAGGCTACCCAAACTATACCAGAGAACGCGACCAAGAGGCGGACCACAGCACCTTGCATCGTTGACTTGTATTTATAGTGTCAGCCGCACTCTCGCAACCGAAGGCTTGGCGCGCACAAAGCTCGATTTGTAAAAACTCCTTGCCAAATTTCAAAATTCCACGCCCGTCGAGACTGTACCCATCCTTCGCATCATCTTGTGAACTTGTCCTGATTCCTCTCACATCCATCCCAAGGAATTGTCTTCCAGATTTGTGCGCCACGCTTTGCTTCCTCCGTCGGGTGTAAATATCGGCGTGGGCGTGTATTTGGTGACCGGCTGAGGCCAGAGAAAGTCGACAAGAGGTGTGATCATTGGAATGAGGATATACTAGGTCGTACTTGTGGACTTGATGAGGCTTAGGTAGGAATCGAATTCGTTGGGAGAGAAAGATTGATATGGCGAAGTCATTTGAATCATTGCCTCGTGGGCCAACTTTGATATTGCAATATTTGACTGAACTTGGCTCTGGAAGAATATTCCACTCCCAGGTTTGTAGAGGACACCGCGTACAGCTGTTCAGTCTTGCCCTCCTCATGGTTGGCTTGTGTTTACAGTGTGAGCCGCGGTTACAGGCTAATACCTTATTTAGTGATAACCGGAATTTTATCCGGTTCGTTTATTGAGAAGTCTTAGAGTACATGGCTTGGCTGGATTAAGGAGTTGTGTAATGGATAACTTATGCATAAATCCATACGCGACGCGCGGCATTGAGCAGATAAGCATGTAATCTTCGTAGTACTTCCTTCGTTATACAGAATATAATTCCATTTACGGCACGCTTTTTGCGAATAGCTAATGTGATCAGACCCATCACAGCCGCACTCTCGCAATCGAAGCCTCGGCAAGCACAAAGCTCAATGAATAAAACCTGTTGCCAAAATTCTAAATTTCACATCAGTCTAGATTGTATCCATCTTTTGTATCATCTGGTAGTCTTTCCCGACTTCCTCTCACGCCTATCCCACAGAAATGCTTCCCAGATTTATGGGCCGCGATTCTTGACCTGCTGCGGGTCCAAATATCGGCGTGAGCGTATTTTCAATGGCCAGACAGAGTCGAGAGGTATGGTCATTGAAATTAGGATGTATTAACTCGTGCCTGTAAACTTGATGAGGTTTATATGCAGATAGATCTCGTTGAGAGGGAGAAATTGATTTGGCAGAGCGTTTTGAGTCATTGCCTCTGTTGGAAATACAGTTTCCTGCTTTTCTTTCTATCGACCAAAGTGGT